CCAGATTCCTCCCCAGCTTCTCTTGTGCATGAAAATGAATTTTTTAACAAAACATTCCTACTTACCCATATTTCTCAAAGAATGACAATTCCTTGTAGAACAGCATATTAATCTACTGGTCAGAGATTTAGTACTCTTTCTCGGTCTAAAGGCATATTTTCACATTTATAGTAAGATTCACAATTGTTTTCTGTTTTATCAAAATCCTAAAGTTTCTGTTTGCATGATCATATGCTGTTTTGATTTTATGAGTTCTGTAGAAATAAAATTTCCTCTGAGTGATATTTCTTACTGTTTGGGGTTGATGGCATAAAACATGAAGAACACCTGGGGAGTTACATGCAGGGAGTCATTCTCAACTCTGGCTCCGACAACAGGACATCACTACACACTTCAGAGAGAAGTCAAAGTGTGGAACATATTAAGTGAAAAAACAAAAAAAGCTTGCAAAACAACATATATGGTGTGTTCCCAATTTAATTTTTTAAAGAGAGAAATCACAAACAAGCACAGAAGAAACTTCAAAGAAATAAACAATAGGTCAAGTCTGGTAATTGCAAACTTTCAAAAGTGGCATGGATATAGATAATTTTAATTTTCTTCCATACTATATAATTGTTTATAATGAAAAGATATTATTCTTTTAATAAGGAAAATGATATATTTATATATATATATTTACACCAGGGGGGTCTTTAAAAAGTTTATGGAAAAATGGAATTAGGAGATAATTTTAAATTTCCACAAAATTTTGAAGCCCCCCGCCCCGTATAGATACACTAGTACATTTGTATATATATATATGGCTGTGTTTAACATCGATTTTAAAATATAACTGTGGGGTATAGAAGTCTCCCAATTTTATTTCGAAACGTTTTTTAATGTGAAATATCTAATTGACATAATTTTTAATATGTATAACTTAAATGATAACTATAGCTCAAACACCCATGTAACTACCACTAGATTCGGAGAAAGAGAATCTACAACCCACCGTCATCCCCCATAAAGGGTCAACATGCTCATCATTTCTAGAACAGTCATTTGTGGGCTTTCCTATGTAGTTAATCACTAGTCATACATAGTTAAAATGCAGAGCTTGGTTTTTAACTGCTTGTAAACTTATTTATATAAATATATACTCCATTACGACTTACATTCTCAACATTACACTGTGAGAGCCATGCATACCTAAGCAGAGTTATCATTTTTCCTCTTCGTTCCTCCCTCTGTCCCCCTCCTCTTTCTTTCTTTTTGCTCCTTCCTGCTGCATATTATTCCACAATCTGATTTTTTAGTAAGCACTTTAATAATTTATTTTATTTTCGTTGTTGAGAATATACACAGCAAAATATACATTAACATGTTGTGCATGACACAGCAAACTATACATTAACATTTTGTACATGATTACATTCTTCAAATTGGGCAACCATTCCTACTTCCCCCATTAAGATAAACACACTCATTTCCTATCTAATCTGTTCAATGACTTGATGACTCTGCTCGCAAGCTTTTATGACCCCAGGCATTGCACAATGCACTGGGAATAATTTAGTTGTTTTTTTGGGGGGTGGGGGCTGGGGAAAATAATTTAGTTTTATAGACAATACTTAAGCTTAAAAAATATATACTTTCTCTTCGAGCTAAAAAAGAACACATAATATGTGTCCAGCACCATGCATCCCATGTAATTAATTCAGTGTCCTGGGAAATCATGGACTCAGGTTTGTTTAGGTTTTTTAAAATCATTTTATTGGGGGCGCATATATTCTTATCACAATCCATACATGCATCCGTTGTGTCAAGCACATTTGTACATTTGTTGCCATCACCGTTCTCAGAACATTTGCTTTCTACTTGAGCCCTTGGTATCAGCTCCTCATTTTCCCCTCCCTGACTCAGAAGGTTTTGAAGAGACTTGAGAACATTCAGTTCAACCACTGGTTTATGAGCTGTACCGGTAAGTCAAAAAGCACTGCCACTGTGTTACAGCACATACGTGCACGGGTTTACTACAAACCATACATATCCGGACATGTGTCTGTGTTGAGTGGCTAGCTGTAGACCAGGTCTCCCCGTAAGACACTGGTCTTCGTCTTGTTAGGATCCCTTCCAAAACGGGTCCCACGAGAACAACAGCTTCTGAGGGGATCTGCTTGGCCAGTTACCTTCAAGGAACAGAGGTTAGTTCAGAAGACTATGGGGACTGATTCTTGAGGCAATCTTGATAGGTTTGCTCGAAGAACATGGAACAATCACGGGGCTTATTATGAAGAAGTTATAGGAAAACAGAAAACAGCAGTGGTGAGAAAAGGCCAGGAGAGTGGTGATGAGATATAATTTTTTTCCCATCAGGTCAATGCATGTGCTAATTCTTAGAGGGTAACAAGGGCTGTTCTAGAAGTTGGTTGGGAAACCTTACATTATAGCCCTAATTTTGCTCCTTTGTACTTCTGTACACAGTTCACAAAACTCAAAGGGCATTTAAAAGGAATACAATTTGAGTTCCTTGAGGATGTCAAAACTGCCATTTTGACCTGGTGTCCATTGAGGAGTATCAAAATCCTTGGGAAGGGAGGGTTAGAGAGAGACAGCCAAGCTGCCTTCAGGAGCACACAGACCTCGACAAGGACATGTTGAGAAAGGATAGCTTCACATTTTGATAATTTTGTTAAACAGAAGTTTGTATGAGTTTTATAGCAATACTTTTTGACGTAGGCTTATAAGTGAAGCCTTCAGAATGTTATGGAAAATTCTACTTTAATTCTACTCTTCTACAACTTTTTGAAGCTCCCTTGTCTGTGTGAATCACAGCCTACATGTTGGGCTTGGGCTAAGTCAACAGGTTGGGTGCTACGTCAGCTGTCTGAGGAGGAAGTCCACAGGTGTCGCATGGGAAGGGTGACAGAACTTCCCAGGAGGATACAATTTTAGTTCCTAGCCAACGAGGAAGTACTTTCCTGGCCCAACATGGAAGGCTCTTTGAGGATTTCTTTGTTCCTATTTTAGAAAGAGAACACAGGCCAGGCACACATCAGCGGGAGCAGCATGATCGAGACGACAGACCAAAGTCAAGTTGAAAGAAGACCCGTAAAAGACCTGATTAAAGTGTAGACAGCCAGCATTTTGCAGAGCATATGGGAGGGAGGGAGGCCCTGGATGGCTCAAATAGTTAGCTGCTCAACTACTAAGCAAGAGGTTGGCTGTTTGAATCGACAGAGGGGTGCCAGGAAGACAGGGGAAATCATGGGACAGAATGGTCCTAAAGGCGATTTAACTACTAGTTCCTTTGAGGGAGGAACACACTTGAAGATCAGGGTTTGCAACTGAACTGAGAAGAACGCAGTCCCAGGGGTCTCTAGGTAATGGTACAGAAGGATAGGCATGAGGTATTCTGATTTCCTACTGCTGTGTAACAAGCCACCGCAAAACTTAGTGGCCTAAACCACTGTGGGTCTGTGGATGATTGGCCTCAGCTGGGCAATTCTCCCTTCAAGTTTCTCGAGTGCTGTGGTTCCTGTTGAAGGAACGAGTGGGTTCCACAGCGGTGGCTTCTTCGCCCGCATGGCCACTCTCAGCTGGGAGGGCTGGAATCCCTGGACGTGGTCAGCGTATCTCTTTCCTCAAGGGTTCCTCCCGCAGCTAGCGGGGCTTCTTCTCAGTGCGGGGCCTCGGCAGGCAGACTGCTCTCAGGTGGCTCCCTGCTCTCCGAGCCCGTCCTCCAAGGGAACGAGGTGAGAGCTGCAGCACTTCTGCTGACTTCTTTTGGACAGGAGCAGACGGATGGGAGTGGGGCTGCATACAGAAGGACTTGGATACCAGAAGGCGCGGTTCACTGGAGACCGTCTTTGAAGACTAGCTCCACACCGAAGCACACACTGGCAAGAATCAGCAGAGCGTGGTCTTGGAGTCAGCAGAGAAGCAAGGTGGAGCAGACAGAAGAGGGATTTTTTAAAAAAATCATTCTGATGAAGGGCTGGACCCTTTTCCTTAGTGGGGTAGAACTAGAAGTTGGTATTAGAATCCATTCATTGTACCTGAGGTTGTACATGTTTAAGTTCATTTCACGGCCTCAGTAATTATCAACAAATCTGTTGTTGATGTACATTAGGTTATAGAACTCCTTGAGATATGGCTGTAGGATTCTCAATAGGATTCATGCTACCTGATTATTTCAGTTAAGATCCAGTTAACAACCCAAATGGATAGCTCAGGTGCCCATTAACCCCGTTAGGAGCTCTGTGGTGCAGCAGTTAACACTCCGCTGCAAACTGCGAGGTTGGATGTTTGGAGACGGGCTCCAATAAAGAGCCCCCAAACCACGACCACCCCTTGTGACAGAACTTCCCATCGTTTCTTACACGCTAGTCTTTTATATGGGAGTAGAGTGCCAAGTCTTTCTCCCTCGAAAATGACTGTGGGTTCAAACTGTCGACCTTTTGGTGAGCAGCTGATTGCTTAGAAAACGGTCCTTCTCTGGCCTATAAAGGTCACCAGGAGTCAGCGTCAGCTCCATGGCACACAACAAGGCACAGTAGGTGTGGAACTTGGTATAGAATAAGTCACACAAGTCTACCTGCAAATCTTAGATGGGAACCCTAGTCGGCACTTAAAATTCACTACCAATTTACTTACTAAAAATACACTTCAGCTGAGAGGTTAAAGTGCACATAAAAGAATATTGTAGGGCTTTCAGAATAGTTACCTCCCGGGTTATCTCTCACTGCCATCGAGTCAATCTGACATATACTGACCTGTGGGTGTCTAACACTGTAACTGTGTACAGGGAAGCAAGCCCAGTCTTTCTCGAGAAGTTGCTGGTGGTTTTGAACTGTTGATCATTTGGATACCACTACATCATCAGGGCTCCATTCCCAGGTTATAAACCGAATTAAAATAACATAATAGTCAACATAGTTTAGTATCTTGGAGTACTCAGAAACTGATTAAAATGTACATTGTTGTTAATGTGAATTAAAAAAAAAAAAAAAGCTCACCTTAGCAGTGCTGAACTTGATGAAGGAAGCAGCTGGATTCTGTTTCTATTCGTGTGATGTCCACCTATGTAGGTGTTAGGCACTGACTGCCCAGTAGGCAATGGTCACAGCGAGCCCATTCAGAAGGAAACACTGCCCACTCCTGCACCACAACTAACTCACCATTGTGAGGTTTGCAGACACTGCCAATCCATCTCATTGAGAGGCTCTCTCTTTTTCATTGACCCTTTCCCCCAGCTGGTGCTTTTGAACTGCCGACCTTGTGGTTAGTAGCCCAACACATATGGTGCTTTGAACTGCCGACCTTGTGGTTAGTAGCCCAACACATATGGTGCTTTTGAACTGCTGACCTTGTGGTTAGTAGCCCAACACATAGCCACTATGCCACCAGGACTCCCTCTTCAGTGTGAGAAAGGCTCAAAACCTTCTAAAAGATTTAAAAGATGTGCAAGTGACAGTGATTGCGATGAAGAATTATTGTAAGGAGGCATTTGTTCAATCAGTTCTAAGTGAGGTCAAATTTAGATAGCATTAAAGGGCAAGTACAAGTTGTCCTTAAGTCATAAGTTCATATCTCAGCAGAAACTTAACTGTATTTGTGTGAGAGGGAGTCTTGGTACCACAATGATTTGCTAACTGAAAGGTTAGTAATTCAAACCCACCCACAGAGAGGCAGACCCAACAATTGCTCCAGCAGCTGATTGATATTGGTGAGAACTAGGATTTGTCCTTCAAGTACTTTGAGTAGAGATCTATTCCTCATTTTACATGGATGGAAACAGACACAGAAGTTAAGCAAAGTAATCCTTGTAGTTATGCTACCTTAATTAACGTTCTACTTTACTTCTCTGAGTAAATTGCAATGGCTACACAGAACACATAGGCAAAATTCACGATTAAAGGGTTTATTAAGGAAGCTAACAAGTGTGTACTGCCAGTGAGAAATGCTCAGGATAGTTACATATAAGAACATGTTACATAAGCAAATGTGGTGAAGAAAGCTGATGGTGCCCGGCTATCAAAAGATATAACGCACCTGGGGTCTTAAAGGCTTGAAGATAAACAAGCGGCCATCTAGCTGAGAAGCAACAAAGCCCACATGGAAGAAGCACACAAGGCTGTGTGATCACGAGGTGTCGATGGGATCAGGTATTGGGCTTCAAAGAAAAAAAATTTTGTCATTGTGAATGAGGGGGAACACAGAGTGGAGACCCAAAGCCCATCTGTAGGCAACTGGACATCGCCTTACAGAAGGGTCATGGGGAGGAGACGAGCCAGTCAGGGTGCAGTATAGCACCGATGAAACATACAATTTTCCTCTAGTTCTTTAATGCTTTCTCCACACTATCATGATCCCACTTCTACCTTATAAATCTGGCTAGACCAGAGCATGTACCCTGGTACAGATCAGAGCTGGGAATACAGGGGATCCAGGACAGATAAAATCCTCAGGACTAATAATGAGAGTAGTGATACCAGGAGGGGAAGGGGAAGGTGTGGGAGAGAGGGGAAACCAATTACAAAGATCTGCATATACTGTAACCCTCTCCCTGGGGAAAGTGGGTGAAGGGAGACACTGGACAGAGTCAGAAATGGAAAAATAATAATAATTTATAAATTATTAAGGGTTCGTGAGGGGTGGGGGCGGGGAGGGAGGGGGGAAATGAGGAGCTGATATCAAGGGTTCAAGTAGAAAAACAATGTTTTGAGAATGATGAGGGCAACAAATGTGCAAATGTGTTTGACACAATGGATGTATGTATGGATTGTGATAAGAGCTGCATGAGCCCCAATAAAATGATTTATACAAAAAGAGAAAGTTTTGATTAAAACCCTGGGTCTGATTGATTAAAAGAGAGAAAGAAAGAAAGAAAATAGCCAATCAGAGAATGTACTTTAAGTAGCCAAACAGAATTTCTTTTTTAATTGTTAGTGTTAGGTAGCTAGCACAGGGACTGGAGTGTCCATTAAGCATTCTCAGAGGTTCGAGCTTCCAGCCAGGAAGGGGTGGTACACCTAGGTGGGTGTTACATCTGGATTGGCCCATACAGACCAGGTGAATTTGATTCGGCCAGGCCTCAGTCCGCAACCGTGCCGCGGACCCTGTCTGGCTTGTGTTCCATTTACTGTCAAACCTGAAACTGCTTCTAACATTCATAAAACTCACTTGGATCACAAACCAGGCTTCGGTGTGACTTCTTTCTCGTGTGAAGCCAAGGACTGATGTATCTCTCTCCCATGAGAGAGATCTAATATTAGTTCCTGGTATTTTGATACTGAAGCCCTGCATGGCCTCTGCTAGGCCTCTGACAGTGCAGGTGTTGAGATTTTCTCAACATTGCGTTTTCTCACCTGGGAATTGCTGGCCTTCAGCAATAAACTTCCTCTTTTAATTTCAAAAACATAAAGACCTTGTTACAAGATGTTTTCAGGTCTGCTAGTAAATGCCCAGAGGGCATACCACTTCACTGGCAGCCTCAACCAAAGACCTCCCCAGTGCAAGCTCCCCTGGTCCACAAACCCAGCTCCCTGCCCTGACTGAGGTGCCCAGAGGCCCCATTCCACAAGCCAGCTTTCTGCACGGAAGCACTCCATGGGCTGGGAAGCCCAGACCTTCCATGGAATTTGGTTCACAAGTACCCACCGGTGAGTCCTATCAGTGTCTCCCCCACACCGTCTTCCCAGTCCGAAGAAGGAAAGGCTTGTTCGGCGGGGTGGTGCCTTGCTAGGAGAGCCACAGTAAATAACCCACGGCGTCTCAGCAGCAGGAAGAAGGACCAGGATTTGAATCCTGGCAGCCTGGCGTCAGAGCTGGGACTTGCTCCACAGGATTGTCTGTTGTCCTAAACAAAGATATTTCCCCTCTTATTTGCTTAGATCTTCACGAGAGGTTTCAGAAAGTAAGACGGGAAGCAATTTTAAAAGGCGTAGGGTACGTACTGCTACACTGCTTCCCTGCAGCCTGCAGCCATCCACTCAGTCTTCTCAGTGCGCTGACGGCATGGCCAGCATCCATCCCATAGCACACCTGCCGCTTTTGGCCACTTCTCTTTTAGGAAAGACCTACATGAGTACCTATTTTCACTAACTGAAAGAGGGTTTTTGCTTTTACAAAAAAATAAAATAAACCTTGAAAAGGTGAAGAGCGAAAGTGCTGGTTTAGCAGCGAGCAGTTAAAGAGGTGGGGGGAGGGGGGCAGTCCAAGCAGTGACGTGGAGGCCCCTGAGCGCCTTCCCGGGAACCACATGCTCGGAGCCGCCACGCCTTTGAACTGCGTCTGTAAACGCTCAGCGGTGTTAGCTTAGGTTTCTTCTGTTATTTGGCAGGTTTTTTGCTTTCTTAATTTGATTGGGTAGGGTCTGAGGATGCTCAGAAATTTTCTCCATCTAAGTAAATGGTAAAGACGCCATTTCCGTTTACAAAAGGTTTTATAGGAACACCCTACTTTCCCATGGTGGGGAAAACCTTTACATGGTGACGGGTCGGGCTGTGATCCCCAAGTTTGGCAGTTCGAAACACTAGCCGTTCCAAGGAGAAAGACAAGGCTTTCTACCCCCATAAAGAGTTACAGTATCTGGACCTCACAGGGGCAGGTCTACCCTGTCCTACAGAGTCTCTGTGTCAGCATAGACTGCTTGGTAGTGAGCCTTTTAAAATACCACTTGTAGAGGGCACTCTGGTGGCACAGTGGTTGAAGCTCTCAGCTGTCAGCGGTTTCTGGTAGAGAGACGTGGCTGTCCTCATAAAGATTTACCACCTGGGAGCCCCCCTAGGGTCAGTTCTCTCTCCTCATGGGTTGCTATGAGCAGGAACTGACTGGGTGGCTGTGGGCCTGGGCTTGCATTTCATTTCTTTGGCACTGGATTTGCACATTTCTCATATGTTCTCGGAGTTTTAGCATGACAGGAGCCCAGGTAGACTTAGACCGCAGGGCCACCAAGCGGGGCTGGCAAATGGCAGGCAACCTGGTGCCTTCTCAAATGCAGAGAGCTTCAGGCACGCTTAGGAAATTTATTTCGAAGTGATGCTAGGAGGCAGAAGAGCTAGGTTCAATGTAAAGCACCCTAAGGTAGGCAAGATCAAGGTCACATTCCGATTCCTAAGGACCACTGTGATTGAATACTTGAGGACTGACCTAAAATCATAAGAAACACGGAGGAATCGAAGCTGGGCCTTGGGGTTGTGTGGGTGCAAACATGAGAAGTGTGGTCCTACGCTGCCACTCTGCCTGTGTGTGTCTGATTCTCAGGCCACCAGCAGAGACATTAGAGTAGCATCCTGGGTGGGCTGAGCGTCACCAGCATCTACCATCTCTTCAGTCTGATAGTGAAACTATTGATAGTCACAGCAGTTTGGGGGCTATTTTAGAAGAGCCTAAATATCTGTTTTGAATGCTATTTTGAAAACATTACAAATCACACTAACCAGATGGCCACCTCTAATTTTGGAATTTCTCAGATAGGGGTTAATCTAAAATTATCTTTCTATTTCTCTTTTAAGTCTCAAAGAAAGTGAAACAAAACAACAAAACAAAACGTACAGAAAGTGCTTCAGAGACAAATGACAGCTATTTTTGATCCGAGAAATGTTTGCTTAGAAGAAAGAGGCTTACAAAGAACAAGCACTGAGGCGGTTTCTAAATGAAGACGTCTGTGCTGACGGAAAGGGAATGAGATGCCTCCCAGATTACCAGCCATTCTCCCCAACACAAGTACTGAGGGGAAAACAGGCTTCACTCTGCCTCAGAGAGCTGCAGAGTAACCACCCCCAAATCCTCGTGAAAACACGGTGACAGAATTACCCATGATGCTGAAAATAATGAACACTTAGAAAAGCATGCCAGAAGGCACTCTGGTTGCCAGTCTCTTAAATTATGCAGCACATGCCTGTAAGTAAGGGATACTGATGGGTTCTTAAAATTATACCAAAGACCAAGCCAACATGGCACTATTTCAGGTATGTAGTTTCTGTTTTACCACCTACTAATTCCTAAAGTTGCTATTATTCAAATTCGTAC